AGGAAAAATATGGTCAAAAATTGATTTCACAGATTCCTTTTTCCAGACACGTATGCACCCAGACTCAGTGAAGTACACTGCGGTGTCGACACCTTTGGGTTTATATGAATGGCTGGTCATGCCCCAGGGCTTACGCAATGCCCCATCAGTCCAGCAACGCCGTGTAACTGCGGCATTACGGGACTATATTGGGATCTTCTGCCATGTGTATATTGATGATGTGATCATCTGGTCTCAGACTGAGGACGAACATGAAAAACACATACGTCTGGTTTTTGACGCATTACAGAAGGCCTCTCTTTATTGCAATGAGAAAAAGACACAGCTATTCTGTTATGAAATAGACTTCCTGGGCCATCATATTTCACAAAAAGGGATACAACCTGACAAATCGAAGGTTGCACGTATAGCAAACTGGCCAATTCCTAAGTCCTCTACAAATGTCCGAGCATTCTTAGGGGTAGTGCGATTTGTGGCACAGTTTCTGCCAAATCTGGCGAAACACACTGAAGTCCTTACGAAATTGACGCATAAATCGGCCGACTTGGATTGGCCTGGGTGGCAGGAACATCACCAAGCTGCCTTTGATGCTATAAAAAGACTTGTTCTGGGGGCCGATTGTTTAACGACAATCGACCACCAGAATATGGGTGACAACAAAATATTCGTTACAACTGATGCAAGTGACACGCGGACGGGTGGCATCCTGTCCTATGGTCCTTCTTGGGAAACAGCAAGATCTGTTGCCTTCGATTCTATGACCCTGAAAGGTGCCGAATTGAACTATCCTGTACATGAGAAGGAACTTCTTGCAATCATTCGTGCATTCAAGAGGTGGCGGACGGACCTTATAGGCGTTCCTGTGGAGGTTTATACAGACCACAGAACTTTAGAAAACTTTGCAACTCAGCGTGACCTTTCGCGGAGGCAAGCACGTTGGATGGAGTTCATGTCCCAGTTTGATATCAAGATTACATATGTCCCGGGTGAAAAGAATACAGGAGCGGATGCCCTGTCACTGACTGATTTCTCGGATCGACTTCCGGAGGACTTCGAACGTCTGCCTCTTAAAGAGCGTGACCATGTGGTCGCAGCAGTATTCCCAGTTTTACATGCTTGCCAGTCCATATCTGCAACTAGAATCCGGGGCCTGGATCATACACCCGAGGTGGGAGCTATTCTGGAGATAACATCAGATGACTCCCTCCTGGATTCTATTCGAACTGGATATGACCAGGATGACTGGACAAGAAAGTTGCGTGGAAAAATTGGCTCTCTTCCTGGATTAAGGGAAGATAATGGTCTTCTTTTCATTGGTGATCGATTGGTCATCCCCCGTGCGAACAACCTACAAGAGACACTCTATCATTTGGCACATGATGCTATGGGTCACTTTGGATTTGACAAGTGTTATGCTTCGTTGCGCAACTCATATTACTGGCCTCGCATGAGAGAAGACCTGGAGGCTGCCTATATACCAGGGTGTGCAGATTGCCAGCGCAATAAATCTTCAACCAAATGCAAGGCTGGCCCTTTACATCCCCTGCCTGTCCCTGACAGCCGTTGTGATTCAGTAGCAATTGACTTTGTAGGCCCCCCTACCAGAAGACGGAGGCTTCAATGCTATTGTCACAATGACGGATAGACTGGGTTCAGACATACGTATATGCCCAACGCGCACAAACATAGATGCAGAGGAGTTTGCCACTGTGTTCTTCAACAACTGGTATTGTGAGAATGGCCTACCCTTGAACATTGTATGCGACCGAGATCGATTATTTGTTTCGAAATTCTGGGAAACCCTATGCCACCTGACAGGCGTGAAGTTAAAGATGTCCACGGCCTATCATCCTGAAACGGATGGCTCTAGTGAACGCACTAACAAAACTGTAATTCAATGCCTCAGGTACTATGTGGACACAAACCAACGGGGGTGGGCTAAGGCCTTACCACAGGTTCGGTTCCACATCATGAACTCACTGAATGCCTCAATGGGTTTCACGCCTTTCGAGCTGAGATTTGGAAGGCCAGCACGGATTATTCCTCCCTTGGGCACACACCAGATGATCTCTGACTCTAAGGAGGCTTTTGACGCTAAGACGTTTATGGAGAATATGACACTGAATGAGCTACAGGCAAAGGACAATTTGATACTTGCAAAGTCTCAACAGGTCGAACAGGCTAATAAATTGCGCCTCCCTGACCCTGACTACCAGGTTGGCCAACGTGTATTGATTGACACAGCTAAGCGACGCAAAACACTTCCTAGGAAGCAGCAATGGGCGCGTTGCGAAGTTCATGGTGCGATCCGATGGGCCATTCAATATCACGAACGTACACAGGGAGGCCTCGACAGTTACTGTGGATTTACCTTCAGATTCAAAGCTACATCCTGTGGTCCACTCGTCGCAGCTCCGACCTTTCGTGGAGAACGATGCAGCTCTTTTCCCTGGCCGAGAAATGAGCGAGCCGGGCCCAATCACTTATGATGACGGTGTAGAGGAATACTATGTGGGCAAAATTTTGGATAAACGCACACGTTACCGAAAGGTACAGTATAAGGTAAGATGGCATGGCTATGGTCGGGAACATGACTCCTGGGTGGATGCGCTGGAGCTTGAGGACTCTGACCATGTGGCGGCCTTTGAGAGGGGCGAAGAGCAGGACGAAATCACCTCAAGATTCCTAGCAAGCAATGAAGACAACCAACCGACGTTGACTATCAGTAACACGGAAACAGCGGAATCACCGATTATTGTTCCGTTGCGGAAACCACGGGCAAAGAAGATTATGCCGCCAAGAGACCTGCCGTTGCGACCTCGAGGGACTGATGGAAGGACCACCACGTCTGCCGCATAACCGATCTTACGACGATCGTATGTGAAGTGCCCGCAGTTGGTGAAGAGGAGGGCTTGTTTTAAGAGGGGGGAGGGTGTAAGCCTGGCTTACATGAGAGATGATGGGATTGATGAGATCACCTTTTTTCTTGCTTCTGGACACTACTTCGCTTGTACCGGTACATATCCCGAATCACCCACAGAAGGGTTCTGTTGTCTCTCGGCGTACCTCTCGACGCTCTTAGTGTTTCCGGTAATTTCCCCTTTTTCCTGCTCGTTTGTCTTCCCTTTTTCTGCGGGCCTCCACAGATATACAACATGGGCCAGGCCTCTCGAATCGTCCAAGCATATCCAGTGCATCCGGCTGAGCCCCCTTGGACACTCCAGGATGTGCACTCAGTTTTACTAATAAAACTGTGGCTACTGGTGAAGGGCTGTACTCATAAAACCTGGGGGAGCTCATGCCAGCCATGGCCGGAGTATTGTGACAAAAAATGTGACATTCAATCAATTGTGAATATCTCAATGAGTTTGACAGCTATGACTAAGCTATTACCAGATATGGAAAGGCAAATCACTATTCTTTCAGGCTGAAGACCCGGATAAACATCTAGGTAGGCCTGTGATCTAGGGCAAAGGTATACATCCTAATTAGGCTAAAATTGATGTATCCTGACATAGCCATCAATGGTACTGATGTCCATCAAAAATCGTTCCACATTGATCACTTTATTTTGATGCCATCAATCCCATCATCAATGCCATGATCTAACACCCAAAAATGAATAAAATGGTTTTTTAAAAAGTGTGACATTTGTGACCCTTGAGCCCTTCCCCAGGTTTTATGAGTACAGCCCTTCACCAGTAGCCACGTTTTTATTAGTATTCCTGAGTGAATGAGCTGGACACTCCGACCCCACCCCCCCAACCATTATCCACGGCCCGCAACTCCTGCACTATTACCAATCCATTAAGACCCTGCCTACAGTTGTTCTGGGACAAGGCCTGTGACGCCTTCTCCACCCAACAACAGCAGTTACGGACAACCCTTATGACCAGTATACAGTTGGCACCCTAGCAGGTGGACCCTTAAAGTTTTTTCCCTCTTTAGTGTAAGGGCAACCCTGGAGGCCTCAAGGTCCTAGCAGGGGAGGACCTAAAGCATGAACATTGGTAAGCGAATACAAATGAAGCTGACCTAGCAGGGGAGGATCCAAAGAGAAGAAACTCTAAGGGTAGGTAGCTGACTATATACTGCTTGTCCGTAGCTGCCACTGTTGGGCACGGAAGGCTTGGGCTGCGTCGCAGGCGAGGTCCCCGGGCGACTGTCGGGAAGGTGTTGATAGATCAGTGATTGTGCGAGCAAGATGGAGGGCCGGACCGGAATTGAGACCGGAATCGGACCAGAAGTGGAATTGTCTCTGAGGGGCCGAAAGGGAGGTTCCCTGGCATTTAGATTCTCCCCTGCTGGGACTCTTGTTAGAGCCTCCCTCTGAACTTCTAACCCTGTAAGTTTAGCACATGACATGTAAGACTGGCCAAAGCTACAGTTTAAATAGTACAGTAACAAACTCTACTGTATCCTGCTCACCATCTAGTAAACTAATGAGTAAATAGGTGAGATCCTGAATTCCACCTGATTCACATAAATCAACTCCTGATATATAATTTGTGAAATATTGTCTTGGGTCCACACAATGATCAGGACGTGTGGAAGCCTGAGGGCAGTTAAACAGGACAACATGACTGAATAGGAGTGAAGGACGAATAACAACCTCAACCTAAAGCCTGACAACCAGACATCTGGACGGCACTGTATACTGCGATAATCTTATTAGAGGATTTATCTCCAAGCATGGGGCAGTCGTCCTGATAGTCACGGCTGTCATTCTGTTCAAACATCTGAAATTTAAATCACAAGTCAAGGAAAATGCCCTGTCAAATCTAGCTATGTGGTAAATATTATTCAAGTTATCCGGAACAGGCCAGGCGGCAAGCAAAAGATTGAGTGAGTGGTGCCCAAGAATCACGACTAGGTCTGAAACGCGGCTATATTTTGAATAGCTATTCTCGGTACTAGCTGTTATGACGTAGTGCACAGTTTGTTACATTTTGGTCGTTCGTCAGTAAGCAATTCAAGTGGAAATCTCTTTCCCCTTCGTGTTAAACATCCCACACGCCCCCCGTCGCCGCCGCCCAATAGCTCGGGATCACCAGGGTCACGTCCTGGACATACCACCCCTCCACATCAACGTCGTCATCCCCCGCCGGCCCAGCCGCGTCCACACGCACCCACGTCCCCCACACCCCGAGCCCGACATGCTGCGCGAGGACGGCCGCACACGCGGGCAGCACGCGCAGGGTAATGTCGTCCGTGTAGCTGTCATGTGGGCCAGACGGCCGCAGGACGGTCGGGCCGTTGTCCTGCTCTCCCGGAACGCTCGGCTTCCAGTCGGGCCACGGCGCGAGCACGACCTTCGCAAGCGGCCCGTCCGTGCCGACGCTGGCGATGCGCCGCATGGCCCGCTCGACGAGGCCCGGGGTGTACCGCTCCTTGACGGCGGCAGCACGCGTGTCGTTGCCCAGGATCGAAGCCAGAGTCGGGATCGGCTTGGGCTCTTCGGCGGTAGTACTTGCAGGTTCGCCCCAGCCAGCGGTATTCTCTGTCGTCTCAGGGTCACCCCACCCACCACTGCCGCCCCACCCGTTCGCGTCCTCGTTATTTTGTTCGCCACCGCTGTCGCCACCCATGAGCTCATCGCTGTCCACAGTCTGCCCAACCAACGTCGTGCCATTTTCGAGCTCGATATTCTCCGTTTCACCGTCGATTTTGGCCCGTTTCGCTGGCCGTTCGTCCATTTCGAACTTGATTTCATATGCCTTTCCCCCGCCCCCTCGCACGCAACACGCCACGCGTCCGGAAGCACGTTAGAAACCGCAAGCGTGCCCGGGAGGTCAACGCTCGCGGTCTGAACAATGAGCATAGCGTTGTCGAAGTCCGATTTGGCGATCACGCCCGTGCGGTGGAGGAAAGTAAGGAAGAAGCGCATTACGTGCGGCGCGGCGATGAGCTTGCGCTGCTCCCTGCGACCTATTAGGTCTTAGATCGCCGTGAGAACTGCAAACACGCACCAACAAAGGCCCTTGTCGATCAGGTGCGACGACAGGAAGACCTGCGTTGCATATGCGGGGTCGTCGAGGAATGCCTGGGCCTTGCGGAAACGCGGTGCGGGCTCGCCATCTCCCTGCTCCGACCTGGTTTCTGCGCTGATCTCAAGTTGGCTCTCCTCCGCAGTCGTCCCAACCGGAGCACCAAGGTCAAAGTCCCCGTCGTCGCCAAAACCGTCGTCATCGTCATCCATCGCGCCATCGCCGCCCTCCGAGCCATGCCCCAGCTTCATGTTCGACAGGCCTTTGTCGGCGCCAACGAAGTACTTGAGCTGCGGATAATCGATGAGACCAAATATATATCAATACACACGCCACTCACCGCATTGACGATGTCCCAGACGTACTTGTGTGAGCTGGCGGTCAATTGCGGAATACCATAGTACCTGTCTTGAGTTCAGAAAATGACCCCACAACGAATTAAGACTCACTGCTCGAAATCGTCGTACGCCATATGCAGCCGGCTAATCGGATCGATCGCGCTACAACTGCGTTAGCCCCCCCCCCATCCAACAGGGAAAGCACACCTGTCGTATGGCACGCGGAACCGCTCGTGTGCGGCATACCCCGCCCACACCGTCCACCAGTCGCCCGCAGCAGCGACGACCGCCTGCGTCTTCTTTTTCTTTTTCTTCTTCTTGCTGACCGCAACTCCTCCCTCAACAGCGGTGGTGTCTTTCGTGCGAGCGGGAAGTACTACCGTGACGATCCCGCGCCCGTCGCGCGGCGCACCGTCCACCCACTCCCCAAACACCTGAATACCGCACTCGACGAAATCCGCGAATGGCACGATACTGACGCCGGGCGGTGGCGGCGGGAACGGCGGGAAACGCCATTTTGCGGCAGGGTCTGCGTCTGGCACGGGACTGGGGACCACCGTCGTCATGGTCTTCAGTCAAGAGCGAAAGGTGTGACGTCACGCTGATCGCGGCCTTTTTCGTTCTGATCACGTGCGAATGAGCCGGAGTTCCCACTCAGTGCTGTCCAATGAGGAATTCGAGGGGGGAAGCCGCGACTGGTAGATGATCTAGAAATTTATTAAATGGGACCCGGTGAATCCTGGCTTAAATTTACAAACAGCAGCTTCTATACTTACTATATTATTTTAATCAACTGCTTGGGTTACACATTACATGGCAGCCCGGACAGGACTCATTTGAGCTCTGTTACGTGTTACAACTGGGACCAGACAGTCACAGATTTGGTCCAATATGGTATGAATTTTATAAAATTTACTCAGTGCCTACATTGTCAGCTGTTTTTGCCAGTGTTGTAGATAAGATGGATGATACACCACCAACCCGGCCTGACAATTTCCCAATATCATACCAAAACATCACCAGACATCACATAGTCACACTGGTACAGGATGTGCTTGATATCAGGATCAAATTACAGCTGATTGCAAAATCGTAGGCCATGTCAATTTTTTGTCACATCTCGGCTAGTCACGGCATGACGACTTTTAGCTCCACCCCATGGCTACCATAACCCTCGACTCCCTCCTTCCCTATGTCTAACTACCACTACATCCACCCCGAGCGCAAACGCGTTATACCAACCATCAAGCAAACTGTCCCTAGCAACACCCGGGTTGCCGGCCTCGTTGCAATGGGTACTCGTACGATTCGCCGGGCTGTGCGAAACGAGCATCTGTATGGAGACGTTGTAGCACCTCCGAGAGGCCAAGTAGGGCGGCCACGAGCGGCCACGAGCTTGGATGAGTTTGTGAGTCTGTTCTAGACAGTTCTCGCAATACACTGACCTTTGCACAGTATTTGGAATGTCTTATTGAACATAAAGCCGACTCGATGCTCTCAGAGCTGCGCGATGGCTTGTGGGAGGGTATGGGCATTGATCTGGATGAGTCCACAATCAGTCGAATGCTTCACCGACGGGGCTTCACTTTCAAATCGGTACGAGCATATTTTTTTCATTATTTTACACTCTCAAACTTAGCTAGATCTCACGAACTGCAAGGGAACGGAACGAGGACAAGCGTACCGAGTATCAGGCCCTCATCGGCGACCTCTACCCAGCAAATACACTGGTGTTTCTTGACGAATCTCATTGTGATCGCCGAACCACACAGAGGAAGGGAGGTTGGGCACCAACGGGACAGAGGGCTCGACGTCGAGATTTTTTCATTCGGGGCAGCAAGTGAGTTCATCTTTCGTTTCCTGAACGTTCATAGCTCTTACATGATATAGATACTCGGTTTTGCCTGCAATCTCGCTCGACGGTGTCCTTCACCTCGATATCATCACTCGTTCGTGGACGGCCATCGAATTCGAGCAATACATCCGCGGCCTATTGGACCAAATGAACCCTTACCCACAGCCGAACTCGGTCCTGGTCATGGACAACGCCAGCAGCCACCATGCTGACAACCTCCGTGATATCGTTGAAGCTCGGTGAGTCTTCTCCAGACTGCAGAGGCCTACAGTGTATCCTTATGTCTCTTCCCAGTGGAATGCGACTTGTCTACCTCCCACCCTACTCTCCCGACCTCAATCCTATCGAAGAAGGCTTCTCTGCGATGAAGGCATGGCTACGACGAAAACAGAGACTATGCTCTCTTGAGTTGACCGGTGATGGCGATGTCGATCCATTTGGGGTTCTTTGGGAGGCTGTTTTCGAGGCGATGACTCCCGAAAACATCTATGGTTGGTATATTGATTGTGGCTACGTTGTTTGAATGAAGAAATACGAGTCAATGTTGTTGTACAGTAGGGATATGTACGGTAAAAATACAGTCATTTACAGTAGTTATGTGGTTGTTATTGTATGATACTTTCAAACTTCAAATGGAGTGACTTAGACCTGGTTCTCCTTCCCTTCGATTCGGCTCTTCTTGGCCTTCCGGAGTGCTCGCTCTGCACCGCGAATCAAATCCTTGACAACACCGCGGTCGATGCCCATGTCCATCAGCTCCGTCCGCGTGAAGTCGAGTAACTGGTGACAGTAGTAGACCTTCTCCGTTTGAAGCTTTGCTTGGTATTGCATAAAGTTGTTCTCCGGCATCTGGGCTTGAAGGTCTCGGAGAAGGTCGGAGATGGAAACGATGGCACTGTCATCTTCGTCGTCGTCTTCTTCCGGGCGAGCACGCTTTACAGCAGATTTGGTGTGATTGGTAAACGACGGGCCGAGGGGACCATCAGCAAGATGGATGTGGATATCAGGTTTGACCTCGACGTTTGTGGTAGCACCCGGGCGTGAGCTTCGTTGCTGGCGGCGGTCCTTCTGATCGAGGAGCGCATCAAACTTAATGCTGTTTGGTGGGACGCTACAGTCACGAGGGACTGAAGGGTTGTTCTTCTGTGGACAACATGAGTTGACTCTCTGTGATGGTGGAGACTACGCACCATGAGCCGCGCCCAGAGCGTGATCATCTCCCAATTTGCAGCCACATGTGGTCCAATCTTGTCGCCATTCGGCCCACGGCGGCGGTAGCAATAGTCGTGGGGACAGTCCTTGTCGCTACAAATCAGATTCTCCTTCACTATTGACATCTCTTCACGATAAGCAAGTTCCGTCTCCTTTGGCTCCTTCTTCTCTTTATCCTCCTGAGCTAAATGAGTTGTGAAAAGGAATCTGCAAGAAAATGAACCTTTGGAGGAGGAGGTCGGTTGTCAACAATCTTCAAAAAGACAGGATTGACACGTCGGGACGAGTCAATCATCTCCATGAGAGTTCCCATCGCCATCTTGGCATCCTCCACTGTCGAGAAACGTTGCCCCGAACCGTTTTACCATCTCTGGTTGTCTTCCAGCACATATTTCCATCATCTGGGATACCCATAAGGGCACGAACACGAGAAAGGAAATCGGCAGGCTCGATGGTGCGATTGAAGGTGTGGGGCACGTCCATTCCGGCACTCCCATTGACTCCAGGTGTCGGAATGATAGTCTTGAAGGTTTTAGATCGAGCAGCTATTATTGTATATCCTCAGCAAATGAAAGATACATGTTGGCGGGGAACGCACCTTGTCCGCCACCTGCTGTTGGGGTCACATTTGGAGCTCTGCCCACCCCACTAGCTTGGGAAGGATGCTCAAAAGTCCCATTGTTGAGGGCCTGGTTCATGTGTGCCATCGCAATGTCTTGCTGGGTCAACAGCGGCATCTCGTTCGTCATTCCAAGCAGGTACTGAGCGGTCGCAAATGGCTGTCGTTGGTTTTGATGATGGCCAGCTGCGAAGGGCAGTTGCTGGTGTAGCTGGCGTGGTTGTTGTCGTGGATCTTCATGCGGGTAAAATGGTTGCATTGTGGTAAGAAAACAAGAGGTGGTAAGCACACATGAGCGCGTTGTGGAGCATAAGTAGCTGTTTGGGTGACATCATAGGCCCGGGCTTGGACGGCATTGCATCATATACGCCATCGCTCCAACGAGTAGATAATTTTGGGTGGCCTACGATTTTGCAATCAGCTGTAGATGCTCTGATTTCCTGACATTGAGTTGACAACATACATCTCATGGACATCTGGGCACCTGTGTGTCCCAGTCCCCACTGTAAGTTATCGGGTCTATTGCACCACATGGGACCTGATAAACTCACAGGGTTTTGATTGTTTACCATAATAATGAATAATTCCTGGATATAAGTAGGGTGCTGTGAGTAACTGTGGTTTTGAAACGGTTTTGAAACCGGTTTTGAAACACATGTTAGTTTTGAATGCCGGGGCCGGCCGACCCGGTTTCGAAACCGACACGTGATTCTCCGGCAAGCCCGGGCCTGCTTGATGCCCCAAGAATATCACATGCACTCACCTGCTTCAGTGGAGCCATCTCTGCCACCAGCTGGCCTTGGCCCATGGTACGCTTCTCGGGGTTATGATACCCGGGCCTGTCCCCGGCTGCCGAGTGTCAGCGGACCCCCTGGGCTGGCCGGTTTTGAAACTGTTTCGAAACCGGTGTGAGTAATGCATTTTGCATTACTTACAGCACCCTAGATATAAGGATGAATAATGTTGAGTTCCAGCACTTGTTTTCTGCCTAAGTCCAGTCCAGTATGAGTAATAATAAATAAATTGAGGGGTATAAGACCCGAGCTTCGAAGTTAACACTGGTATGTGACGTCACAAAGGGTTAGTTAGTAGTTATAACAACAGGCGCCCCAGTAGGAGGAACGCACATGTGGGAAGCATGTGACCGAGAACTACGCATCACGCTATCGCCGAGCCCAACTTGACACAAGGGGATTAGGGAAGAGTGCTAGGAGGTTAGGAGTAGTGTCTGGCCAAGGGATGTATGATTGTCCCCAGGAGAGGCCAGGGTGTCCGATCACCCCTTTCACAGGCCCACATATATAACGCGCAATCATGTACTATGTACTCTATCACTTAGATTGTCTAAAGTACCGCTTCTGTTTGTGAAAGGAGGAATTGCCAACTCATTGGGCCCGAAATGACCCAATTTAAACCTTCAACCACTGACAACAACTAGGGACCAAGTTAACGGGCCCTTTCGGTTCAAATCTACCCCGCTCACTCTGCTTGCGGGCTGAGGATTCATCTGTTCTGTTCCAGGTGCGTGTTCATAAGAGAAGCCTTGCACGGCCTGATCCGAAGCCTGACATAATTGCACTTGATCTTCTGGATGCTATCATCTACAGTAATCGCAAGGACACATGAACTGCACTCTGTATGCTTTTGGCTTGTCTGGCTCATGTATCAAGACTAGTCAACATCAAAATGCAATTCAGATAGAAAGAGTCCCAGTTCTCCCAGATTACACAGCTCACAGCCTCGTTTCTATGATATTACTAGAAACACCTGCTCTGCTTTAATCCCTACCGGCTCACATGCGAAAAACTAGTGTACTTTGGCACTGCACAGGGCTCCATTAAACTGTGTGGTGACATTTATTGATGATACCTTTGTAAGGGCAACCTCGCGAGGCTCGAAATCAGAGTCCTGAGCAGAGGGGGAATCCTTAGTGAACTACTACAACAGGAAGGGACGCACGCTACAGACTCACCTGAGCAGAGGGGGAATCCTTAGAGAACAAGCCAAGGAGCCCTCTGCCCAGGTGCACTACTATATACTAGTGACCAGAGTAATGATAGAGTGACTGCGTAGCGACGGATGACGGGTTGGAGAAGTCAGGTGTCGCTAATGGACCCTAGGTGAGTGTCGAGTAGCCCTCAAAGCTCCGGAGAGGCAGGTTTGGGACCGTGATGCCAAGGGAGGGGCCCAGGCATCCCTAGAAGGCCTAAGAAGGGCTTCGGGAGGTCCAGGCTGCCTCTGGGCGTCTCTGCTTGTGACCGTGACGTGACAACCAGAATCGGAATCGGAATCGGAATCGGAACCGACTCCGGGTGTGTGACCGTGACATGACGGCCGGAAACGGAGAGGGAAGGTGTGGAGCGGAAAGGGAAGGAGTCTGGTCTAGCCCAAGGGCCGGGGAGTATCGAAGAGGACCAATGGGAATGGCAGCCAGCCATGACCACTGGAGGGTAGCGACAGGGGGTCACTCGGAGACGTCTCCGGACGTCTCCAGAGAGGTGGAGGTGTGAGGGCGTGCAGCCTGGGGCGCTGCAGTGGGCACGAGCCTTAACGGCAGTAGGCCTCACCCAGGGGAAGACCCGACGACGGGGGCCGTGGTGGCGGAGTGGAGAGCGGAGCCATGGCAAAGCTCAGCCATCCGAACGTAAGCCCGAACGCTGCTATAGGTTGGGGACACCCAAGAGGTCCAGCGGATAGAGATCGTAGGGAGACCTTGATAAGTGACAGCCCAGAGAGGCTAGAAGGCCATAGAGGTCTCAGAGGGAAGTGGTGCGTCCACATCCAGAGAGGTCTCCGATGGCATTAGTGATCCCTGATGGTGATTCCGGAGGGACTTCCGGAGGGGAGTGGCCAGGGGCCGAAAGGGAGGTTCCCTGGCATTTAGATTCTCCCCTGCTGGGACTCTTGTTAGAGCCTCCCTCTGAACTTCTAACCCTGTAAGTTTAGCACATGACATGTAAGACTGGCCAAAGCTACAGTTTAAATAGTACAGTAACAAACTCTACTGTATCCTGCTCACCATCTAGTAAACTAATGAGTAAATAGGTGAGATCCTGAATTCCACCTGATTCACATAAATCAACTCCTGATATATAATTTGTGAAATATTGTCTTGGGTCCACACAATGATCAGGACGTGTGGAAGCCTGAGGGCAGTTAAACAGGACAACATGACTGAATAGGAGTGAAGGACGAATAACAACCTCAACCTAAAGCCTGACAACCAGACATCTGGACGGCACTGTATACTGCGATAATCTTATTAGAGGATTTATCTCCAAGCATGGGGCAGTCGTCCTGATAGTCACGGCTGTCATTCTGTTCAAACATCTGAAATTTAAATCACAAGTCAAGGAAAATGCCCTGTCAAATCTAGCTATGTGGTAAATATTATTCAAGTTATCCGGAACAGGCCAGGCGGCAAGCAAAAGATTGAGTGAGTGGTGCCCAAGAATCACGACTAGGTCTGAAACGCGGCTATATTTTGAATAGCTATTCTCGGTACTAGCTGTTATGACGTAGTGCACAGTTTGTTACATTTTGGTCGTTCGTCAGTAAGCAATTCAAGTGGAAATCTCTTTCCCCTTCGTGTTAAACATCCCACACGCCCCCGTCGCCGCCGCCCAATAGCTCGGGATCACCAGGGTCACGTCCTGGACATACCACCCCTCCACATCAACGTCGTCATCCCCCGCCGGCCCAGCCGCGTCCACACGCACCCACGTCCCCCACACCCCGAGCCCGACATGCTGCGCGAGGACGGCCGCACACGCGGGCAGCACGCGCAGGGTAATGTCGTCCGTGTAGCTGTCATGTGGGCCAGACGGCCGCAGGACGGTCGGGCCGTTGTCCTGCTCTCCCGGAACGCTCGGCTTCCAGTCGGGCCACGGCGCGAGCACGACCTTCGCAAGCGGCCCGTCCGTGCCGACGCTGGCGATGCGCCGCATGGCCCGCTCGACGAGGCCCGGGGTGTACCGCTCCTTGACGGCGGCAGCACGCGTGTCGTTGCCCAGGATCGAAGCCAGAGTCGGGATCGGCTTGGGCTCTTCGGCGGTAGTACTTGCAGGTTCGCCCCAGCCAGCGGTATTCTCTGTCGTCTCAGGGTCACCCCACCCACCACTGCCGCCCCACCCGTTCGCGTCCTCGTTATTTTGTTCGCCACCGCTGTCGCCACCCATGAGCTCATCGCTGTCCACAGTCTGCCCAACCAACGTCGTGCCATTTTCGAGCTCGATATTCTCCGTTTCACCGTCGATTTTGGCCCGTTTCGCTGGCCGTTCGTCCATTTCGAACTTGATTTCATATGCCTTTCCCCACGCCCCCTCGCACGCAACACGCCACGCGTCCGGAAGCACGTTAGAAACCGCAAGCGTGCCCGGGAGGTCAACGCTCGCGGTCTGAACAATGAGCATAGCGTTGTCGAAGTCCGATTTGGCGATCACGCCCGTGCGGTGGAGGAAAGTAAGGAAGAAGCGCATTACGTGCGGCGCGGCGATGAGCTTGCGCTGCTCCCTGCGACCTATTAGGTCTTAGATCGCCGTGAGAACTGCAAACACGCACCAACAAAGGCCCTTGTCGATCAGGTGCGACGACAGGAAGACCTGCGTTGCATATGCGGGGTCGTCGAGGAATGCCTGGGCCTTGCGGAAACGCGGTGCGGGCTCGCCATCTCCCTGCTCCGACCTGGTTTCTGCGCTGATCTCAAGTTGGCTCTCCTCCGCAGTCGTCCCAACCGGAGCACCAAGGTCAAAGTCCCCGTCGTCGCCAAAACCGTCGTCATCGTCATCCATCGCGCCATCGCCGCCCTCCGAGCCATGCCCCAGCTTCATGTTCGACAGGCCTTTGTCGGCGCCAACGAAGTACTTGAGCTGCGGATAATCGATGAGACCAAATATATATCAATACACACGCCACTCACCGCATTGACGATGTCCCAGACGTACTTGTGTGAGCTGGCGGTCAATTGCGGAATACCATAGTACCTGTCTTGAGTTCAGAAAATGACCCCACAACGAATTAAGACTCACTGCTCGAAATCGTCGTACGCCATATGCAGCCGGCTAATCGGATCGATCGCGCTACAACTGCGTTAGCCCCCTCCCCCATCCAACAGGGAAAGCACACCTGTCGTATGGCACGCGGAACCGCTCGTGTGCGGCATACCCCGCCCACACCGTCCACCAGTCGCCCGCAGCAGCGACGACCGCCTGCGTCTTCTTTTTCTTTTTCTTCTTCTTGCTGACCGCAACTCCTCCCTCAACAGCGGTGGTGTCTTTCGTGCGAGCGGGAAGTACTACCGTGACGATCCCGCGCCCGTCGCGCGGCGCACCGTCCACCCACTCCCCAAACACCTGAATACCGCACTCGACGAAATCCGCGAATGGCACGATACTGACGCCGGGCGGTGGCGGCGGGAACGGCGGGAAACGCCATTTTGCGGCAGGGTCTGCGTCTGGCACGGGACTGGGGACCACCGTCGTCATGGTCTTCAGTCAAGAGCGAAAGGTGTGACGTCACGCTGATCGCGGCCTTTTTCGTTCTGATCACGTGCGAATGAGCCGGAGTTCCCACTCAGTGCTGTCCAATGAGGAATTCGAGGGGGGGAAGCCGCGACTGGTAGATGATCTAGAAATTTATTAAATGGGACCCGGTGAATCCTGGCTTAAATTTACAAACAGCAGCTTCTATACTTACTATATTATTTTAATCAACTGCTTGGGTTACACATTACATGGCAGCCCGGACAGGACTCATTTGAGCTCTGTTACGTGTTACAACTGGGACCAGACAGTCACAGATTTGGTCCAATATGGTATGAATTTTATAAAATTTACTCAGTGCCTACATTGTCAGCTGTTTTTGCCAGTGTTGTAGATAAGATGGATGATACACCACCAACCCGGCCTGACAATTTCCCAATATCATACCAAAACATCACCAGACATCACATAGTCACACTGGTACAGGATGTGCTTGATATCAGGATCAAATTACAGCTGATTGCAAAATCGTAGGCCATGTCAATTTTTTGTCACATCTCGGCTAGTCACGGCATGACGACTTTTAGCTCCACCCCATGGCTACCATAACCCTCGACTCCCTCCTTCCCTATGTCTAACTACCACTACATCCACCCCGAGCGCAAACGCGTTATACCAACCATCAAGCAAACTGTCCCTAGCAACACCCGGGTTGCCGGCCTCGTGCAATGGGTACTCATGACGATTCGCCGGGCTGTGCGAAACGAGCATCTGTATGGAGACGTTGTAGCACCTCCGAGAGGCCAAGTAGGGGCGGCCACGAGCGGCCACGAGCTTGGATGAGTTTGTGAGTCTGTTCTAGACAGTTCTCGCAATACACTGACCTTTGCACAGTATTTGGAATGTCTTATTGAACATAAAGCCGACTCGATGCTCTCAGAGCTGCGCGATGGCTTGTGGGAGGGTATGGGCATTGATCTGGATGAGTCCACAATCAGTCGAATGCTTCACCGACGGGGCTTCACTTTCAAATCGGTACGAGCATATTTTTTTCATTATTTTACACTCTCAAACTTAGCTAGATCTCACGAACTGCAAGGGAACGGAACGAGGACAAGCGTACCGAGTATCAGGCCCTCATCGGCGACCTCTACCCAGCAAATACACTGGTGTTTCTTGACGAATCTCATTGTGATCGCCGAACCACACAGAGGAAGGGAGGTTGGGCACCAACGGGACAGAGGGCTCGACGTCGAGATTTTTTCATTCGGGGCAGCAAGTGAGTTCATCTTTCGTTTCCTGAACGTTCATAGCTCTTACATGATATAGATACTCGGTTTTGCCTGCAATCTCGCTCGACGGTGTCCTTCACCTCGATATCATCACTCTTCGTGCGACGGCCATCGAATCGAGCAATACATCCGCGGCCTATTGGACCAAATGAACCCTTACCCACAGCCGAACTCGGTCCTGGTCATGGACAACGCCAGCAGCCACCATGCTGACAACCTCCGTGATATCGTTGAAGCTCGGTGAGTCTTCTCCAGACTGCAGAGGCCTACAGTGTATCCTTATGTCTCTTCCCAGTGGAATGCGACTTGTCTACCTCCCACCCTACTCTCCCGACCTCAATCCTATCGAAGAAGGCTTCTCTGCGATGAAGGCATGGCTACGACGAAACAGAGACTATGCTCTCTTCGAGTTGACCGGTGATGGCGATGTCGATCCATTTGGGGTTCTTTGGGAGGCTGTTTTCGAGGCGATGACTCCCGAAAACATCTATGGTTGGTATATTGATTGTGGCTACGTTGTTTGAATGAAGAAATACGAGTCAATGTTGTTGTACAGTAGGGATATGTACGGTAAAAATACAGTCATTTACAGTAGTTATGTGGTTGTTATTGTATGATACTTTCAAACTTCAAATGGAGTGACTTAGACCTGGTTCTCCTTCCCTTCGATTCGGCTCTTCTTGGCCTTCCGGAGTGCTCGCTCTGCACCGCGAATCAAATCCTTGACAACACCGCGGTCGATGCCCATGTCCATCAGCTCCGTCCGCGTGAAGTCGAGTAACTGGTGACAGTAGTAGACCTTCTCCGTTTGAAGCTTTGCTTGGTATTGCATAAAGTTGTTCTCCGGCATCTGGGCTTGAAGGTCTCGGAGAAGGTCGGAGATGGAAACGATGGCACTGTCATCTTCGTCGTCGTCTTCTTCCGGGCGAGCACGCTTTACAGCAGATTTGGTGTGATTGGTAAACGACGGGCCGAGGGGACCATCAGCAAGATGGATGTGGATATCAGGTTTGACCTCGGCGTTTGTGGTAGCACCCGGGCGTGAGCTTCGTTGCTGGCGGCGGTCCTTCTGATCGAGGAGCGCATCAAACTTAATGCTGTTTGGTGGGACGCTACAGTCACGAGGGACTGAAGGGTTGTTCTTCTGTGGACAACATGAGTTGACTCTCTGTGATGGTGGAGACTACGCACCATGAGCCGCGCCCAGAGCGTGATCATCTCCCAATTTGCAGCCACATGTGGTCCAATCTTGTCGCCATTCGGCCCACGGCGGCGGTAGCAATAGTCGTGGGGACAGTCCTTGTCGCTACAAATCAGATTCTCCTTCACTATTGACATCTCTTCACGATAAGCAAGTTCCGTCTCCTTTGGCTCCTTCTTCTCTTTATCCTCCTGAGCTAAATGAGTTGTGAAAAGGAATCTGCAAGAAAATGAACCTTTGGAGGAGGAGGTCTGTTGTCAACAATCTTCAAAAAGACAGGATTGACACGTCGGGACGAGTCAATCATCTCCATGAGAGTTCCCATCGCCATCTTGGCATCCTCCACTGTCGAGAAACGTTGCCCCGCAACCGTTTTACCATCTCTGGTTGTCTTCCAGCACATATTTCCATCATCTGGGATACCCATAAGGGCACGAACACGAGAAAGGAAATCGGCAGGCTCGATGGTGCGATTGAAGGTGTGGGGCACGTCCATTCCGGCACTCCCATTGACTCCAGGTGTCGGAATGATAGTCTTGAAGGTTTTAGATCGAGCAGCTATTATTGTATATCCTCAGCAAATGAAAGATACATGTTGGCGGGGAACGCACCTTGTCCGCCACCTGCTGTTGGGGTCACATTTGGAGCTCTGCCCACCCCACTAGCTTGGGAAGGATGCTCAAAAGTCCCATTGTTGAGGGCCTGGTTCATGTGTGCCATCGCAATGTCTTGCTGGGTCAACAGCGGCATCTCGTTCGTCATTCCAAGCAGGTACTGAGCGGTCGCAAATGGCTGTCGTTGGTTTTGATGATGGCCAGCTGCGAAGGGCAGTTGCTGGTGTAGCTGGCGTGGTCGTTGTCGTGGATCTTCATGCGGGTAAAATGGTTGCATTGTGGTAAGAAAACAAGAGGTGGTAAGCACACATGAGCGCGTTGTGGAGCGCATAAGTAGCTGTTTGGGTGACATCATAGGCCCGGGCTTGGACGGTAGTGCTGGCCAGAATTATATTATGCTTGATTAAATATTGAATATATTCAGAATATTATGAATATATTATGCACTTTGTGGATCACTTGAATATGATTATGTTTGAATATATTATATTATATTATGACTATACTATATTATAGTCGCAGAATATTCAACTATAGTAAGGTAGATGATTACAGCTATTTTCTCAGTCTATGTACTCAGTCATAGTACTAATCTTAGTCTGAGTTAGCCCTACTTCTGATAAATGTCACATATTATCTATTATATATGGTGATTCATACATTACCCTTAGTAGGAACAAATGTCAGGAGTGATCACTTTGGGTTGACCTATTAAACATAGTGTAGGACCTCTGATAGTTGCGAAAATTTCAGCAACGTCACGCGGATGCACAGCATCCAAAAAGGAAATTCATGCACGTGATGCCGCCTTAGGTCGGGATTGATGCGCTTCACAGGGTGGCATATCATTAATATTATACTTAGCAAGTTGACTGAGAAATTAGAATTCATTGTAAATATTTATTACATGCCGACTACAGTGGTTGACAGGCGAGCTTAACTCAGTGCAGCTCAACGGCCGACAACCACTCGCCCGGCCACACCCGCGAGCGCCGGGCATTCTCCGCTCGCCATCCCACCATCAGTCATCCACTCCTGGTTCACGATCCTCTCCCCAGCGCCCACTGACACACGTTACACCTTTCTAACTCGGACTCCCTTCCTTTGGCCGGCCTCTGATTTGCGGACTCCGAGTCCTCCGCGACCCGGCCCCGCCAAAACAGCAGACTGTCCGAAGCGGTGACAGGCGCGCTGCATCCCTGCCAGCGATGCCACCAGGCCCGCGCGGTTCCGAGGGTGCTTTGCATACGGAGCGATGGGCCATGCCACCCCACCCCAGCCTGAGGAGTCACTGGCGGTCTGGAGATCAAGCGCCGACTCCGCCGCCGTGTGTTGGAGAGGTTGGGTGGCGGCGCGATGCCACGGGGGATTTGGGGGAGAAGCCGGTTGGATGGGCCTAGTGATGCGGAAGGGTGGCAATTGGCGGTGTGGATGAGGGTAAAAGGAAGAACGTCAAGTGTGACTCAGCAGTCACTCATTGCGTGATGGGCGGGGCGGCCATGTGATGCCATTACCCGTTTGGGAAGGCATGTGACGTTGCTGAAATGTTAATACCTACCTCTGATCAAGTATCTACTGGCTAACCTAAGACTAGTGACAATGCCCCTGATTGTATTTTGAGAGTCCTATGTAACCCAGGGAGGCCCAAAAGGAAGTTGCACTGACAATCCAGCATGTATTTTATGTTTTTGATTCCTTTTTCTAGCAGCAAATATGTGAAACATATCAAGAGATATGCATACTAGATTATAGTTGAATATATTCATAACATATTCATATTTCACAGCTGAATATGATTATATTATACTACAAATATATTATTGGGTTGGAGCTCTGAATATGATATGATTATAATATATTATGCCCATAAAATAATATAATTATATTTGGCCAGCA